TTTCCTGCATTTGTCCTTTGCAATTACAGGTTTATTAATATCAGAGCATAGTACTGGAAACAGTGAATCTGGTAGCCTTGAAAGGGGAGATAGTATTTATAGTATCCGTATTATGCCTTGAAGATCTTTCAATAAATTAGCTATAATGAGCCATTCTTTGCTGGTATAACCATAATGAAATAGATTAATGAGACAAAAATGCAAAGTCACTAACACTTCTTCAGACCAAGCTTTAGACCTTAGCAAAATAAAATAACATCTGAAAACTTCCTAGTGAAATTTTTTTCAAGATTCCGGAAAGACTGCATTTTTTTTAAACAACTCAGTGCTTCTAAATAAAAGATCTTGAAGCCTTCCTCTGAAGCTTGAACTGTGCTCTTGTTCATTTGATTAAACAGTGACATCTGACACTTGGCAATGGTATATCCGTTTCTGGAGTATGGGAATCATACATAAAGCATTGCTGATAGTGAGGTGAGAAAAATAGAACAAAAGTATCTCGAAATTTTTTATTCCAATGAAGTTGGAAAGACTCCAGCAGAAATCAATAGCCCCTGCTGCTTTTGCATGAAACACTCGAACACGTAGGAATTTAAAAAAAAAAAAAAAAAAAATAGGAAAAAGAAGACTTGAAGGCATTATGGATTATTGGCATTTAAGTATTGGACTCAAGGACATCCGCATGCATAACAAGTTCCCTTTCTACCCTGTAAATATTTAGGTCTGATACCCATGTTCAAAGACTAGAAAATAAATTAAGGGGCTGTACTAGTAATTTTGTGAATGACTAGGTCTTATCGCTTATTTAAATAAGAACAAATCAAGCATCATAATAGAATGGTGGATACCTAGCAGGCTTCTGAAGATATCAAGGACAATTCCACCATGGAAAAGTCAATTCAGTGCTTGGTTAGGAGCCGAAAAAAAGGTGGGAGACAATAAGATTTATTACTTATTAGAAAAATAATGAAGAAAACTATATAGTCTCTACAGTGTTTGCTATTGTTTGTTCTTCTTGTAGTTCTGTTTAGACCAAGTTTTTACATTTTGTTTTTTTGTTATTTGATGAAGCTGTAACAAGTTTGTTTCATCGTGAGTGTAACATGAAATAACAGCAGATTGTAACTTTTCGGAAAACTCACATATCCTGTATGTGAGTATATCCACCAGAAAATGCAAAACAGCTCTAGGGGGTATCTAGAATATCAATTGGTAACATGGCTTTTGAGCACTGAATGTTAGTGAACGACCTTTGTAGATCAGACATCTGATCTTTGCAGACCAAAGATCAGCTGTACATAGACAGATGTTCCCATGAGCATCAACCTGGCCAGACTTGCACAAATACTTCCAAGACAGGCTATAACTTAAAACTGACTTTTAATGAGACCATATTCAGTTAAAAAAAAGTTACAAATTATTGTGTACTTTTCAACTTAAGTTGTGCTTAATTTGAAAGACCAGAGACCGATCTCAGCAATGTAAAAAAAGCTTGAAGTCATGTGCAAGTGGAGAAAATGAAGTATCATGACTTACACCTGTTTATAAATAAAACAGATGGGGCTTTGAGGGGAGTGTTTTGACTCTAGCCCCCCATCACTCTGCAGGGGCACAGCACCGTGGCACTCCTCTGGAAGTGTCTGAAACCCCAGTTCTGGAAGGCTGGCTTGCTGGAACGGCAGACCATAGTTTAACAATTTACATCAGCAGAGAAGTCCAATTACTTGTGTAATTTCCATTAGCACTCAAATAAATTAAGCTATGCTGTAGCTGTATCTTCAGTGGTACTTCTGCCAGTATATAAGCTCGGTCTTAGCTCTCTTCTGACACTGCTGAATTGGCAAAGTTTCTGCTGTGGACTTGATTTAATCTTGAATAATATTGAACAGAGAAGTGATTAAAATAAAAGAGAATAAAAACTCTGAAGAATATATTTAATCTAAAACTTTAAAATGCTGACCTTGACAAGGTATTTTTGAATTAATTATGGTAGGAGTATCCAGCACTTCAAACACTCTGTTCTGAGAATTCGGTACATCAGTAACTCGAAGACACATTTTGTGAAACTGTGTGTCTCCTTAGTTTTGCTCTTGTCCTTTGGGGACATCTCAGATTGCTTTGGTCTATGTAATGTGACTGCCTTCGTAGGGCTATTTGCACGGATTGTTTCTCCAGAGCAGGCTGACAAATATAAGTGTTCTGTTCTCTAAAGCCATATCAAGTTGAGTTGCTGTTCATCAAACAGTTTTAGTTACCTTTTGCAATTATCACAAGTGCTTTCAAATAACATTATCTTCTGTTTTCCATATTTAAAGGGGATAGAAAATTCATGTCTGATTAGTGTTGGTTTTTGTTTGTTGCTTTTTTTTTGCCTAAGCAAATTTAAATGATCATTTAAGTTCTCCCATGTAATATTGACCTTAGGTAACTGGGCTACCTTTTTTCTACCTGAAGATATTTTGTTACATAAAAGCTGATCATTCTTGCAATGTTGATAGTGATGTGCTGCTGAGTGTTTGCATTTACAAACATCTTCTGTTGTTTCCAAAATTCAGTTTGATATATTTCACTTCAGGGTTTGCTTGCAGTCATTAAAAGCGTAGTTATTTTTGTATAGCCTACACCTTTTTTGTAAATGCTGCTATCTGGAAAAATGGCAGGACCTTTCATTCTGAGTCTGCAAAAACATTTCAAGGGAGACTATTGGAATTTATTCCCAGGATTTTTTTTTCTCTCCACTGAAAACTTTGAGCTAAAATATTTTCTCCCTGGGGGAAAAAAAAAAAAGTGTTGTATACAAAAATTAAATGTCGATTTTCTTACTCTTTTCAAAAGTATTTTATTAATCTTCCTTCACTTAATCTGGATAACAAGGGAAATTTGTAGCACTGTGTTATTTTAAATAGACTAAGAATGAAAAAATTACTGTGAAAGATTTTTGGAATTATCTGAATTTTCTTGCAGAATCATACTTACCGGTATCTTGCATTTCAGTGTTTTGGTTTTCAACTCTGGTATTATCTTAGTGGATATTTACTTTCTATTGAGTTATGAGTGAAAAACAAGTTAAAGCGTGTATATGATTTTGAGTTAGCAAAGTTCCATGTGCATTGAGCACAGCTTCATTCCTTTGATAGGAGGCAACAAAATTTTGTGCTAGCCTGTATGGTTTATAATGAAATGTTCTCTTATAATTTTACTGTGTATTACTATATTAGATCTTGGTCCTTTTGCCCGCAAAGTGAGGAGGAATTTAAACTTTGAGAATTAAGATTGTTTGTGAATATTAAGCGATGGCTCTATGGAAATCGTTGTCTACTTTGAAAATCATACTTAATTAGAAAAATCCTTGTCTTAGTGGAGAAAATAAAAATGTCTGTCAGTCAGACATCTTCCTCTGAAAATTTCATTTTATTGTTGATTAATCCAACTGGATTGGAAAGGTTAAAGAGATACACTAGAAGACAGGCATGATAGCTCACACTGACATACTGTCAGCCTATTCCAAATCTCATTATCTAATTACATATTCCAAAGTTGCAGCCAACGGTTTAAACTGTGATTTATTTTTTGAACTGTGTTGTGGGGGTGTTTCAACAGGCCTGTAAAAGCCTACAGATGCTGTACCTGAAATGACACAATCTATAGTGCATTGCTTGTGTTTAAGTTCTGGGTCAATTTTTGTGACTGGTGAATCAAATTAGCAATGTCCTTAGGTTTTTGGCTTTGTTTTTAATTTCTGTGTTGTTGGCTAGATGCCAGGTGGCCACCAAAGCTGGACAGGGGAGAGAAAATATAATGAAAGGCTCGTGGGTTGAGATAAGGGCAGGGAGATCACTCAGCAATAACTGTTGCAGGCAAAACAGACTTGAATAAGAGAAATTAATTTAATTTATTGCCAGTCAAATCAGAGGAAGATAATGAGAAAAAAAAAACTTAAACACTTTCTCCCTACCCCTCCCTTCTTCCTGGGCTCAACTTCACTCCCCATTTCTCTATCTCTTGCCCCCAAGCAGTGCGGGGGGACAGGGAATGGGGATTGTGGTCTGTTCATCTGCTGCTCCTTCCTCCTCAGGGGGAGGATTCCTCACACTCTTCCCCTGCTCCAGTGTGGGTTTATGTCTCTATGAAGCCATAGGTCCTGTCAGGAGCCTGCTCTAGCGTGGTGGCTTCCCATGGGGTCACAGCCTCCTTCGGGCATCCACCTTCTCTGGTGTGGGGTCTTCCACAGGCTGCAGGTGGAGATCTGCTCCTCTGTTAACCTCCATGGGCTGCAGAGGGACAGCCTGCCTCACCATGGTCTTCACCACAGGCTGCAGGGGAATCTGCTTTGGTGCCTGGAGCATCTCCTCACCACCTCCTTCACTGACCTTGGTGTCTGCCGGGTTGTTGCTCTTGTATTCTTAAATATGTTATCCCAGAGGTGCTACTACTGTGGCTGATGGGCTCAGCCTTGGCCAGTGGTGAGTGCATCTTAGAGCCAGCTGCCATTGGCCCTATCAGGCACAAGGAAAACTTCTAGAACCTTCTCACAGAAGCCACCCCTGTAACCTCCTTGCTACCAAAACCTTGCCATGCGAGCCCAAGACAATAATTTAGCTATTTTTTCATGCAAATAGTTGTGCATTGTATTTAAAATCATATGAAAATGTTGATCTGGTTGAAAAACAAAAAAATAGGTGTGTTTACATTTTAGAAGGGGTACTTGGAAATTGGAAATTATTGAAATTTTACTCAACTTTGCAGCAGCCTAGTTTGGTTTCCTGCTAATGTTTCCAAATATAAGATTCCTTTTGTGAATCTTTTTAAGAAGCTTTATTGGAATTAATATTACAGTTACATTTGCTTGCCCTGTGCTTTTGCTTTCTGTTAATTAGTCTGGCTTGATCAGTCGATGTTACTGAGACTAATTTGATCAAATTTATTTAAGATATACTTTAAGAATATTTAATATTCAGCCTTACAGCATTTCTTTCTTTTTTTTTTTTCCCCCTCCATAGATACTACAACGTATTCCACCGAGCGATCTGAGCACTTTAAGCCATGCAAAGACAAGGATCTTGCATATTGTCTCAATGAAGGGGAATGCTTTGTGATCGAAACCTTAACGGGATCCCATAAACACTGCCGGTAAGTCATGTGCAAAGAAGTTGTGCAAAAGTTTTCTGTCCAAGGGAGACAGCATTAGAAAAAATAAACATTCAGACTTAAAATGTTACAAAGCAATGGAATTTGTCTCCAATTTGATTGGCTCCCTCACAGTTGATGTGTTTTTTTCCTAGTCTGTAATATTTGTAATTACAAATAAGGAAATAAAGCAACATTTAGATTACTTTTATAGGTAAGAAAAATCTTCAATATTCTATTTTCTGATCATATAAAAAAGTGAGGATTAATGTTTTGCTTTGTTTTTTACATATTAAAATCTTATGTTCCTCTACATACCAGAAGCATTCTTTTATTTTGGGTACTCAAAGTAGAGCTTTGACAATATATGTATACATTGAGGGACAGGAAGACTTGTTCAGTTAGTCGTTTTAAGAATTAGGGTTTCATAAGTTTAATTACTGAAAGATAAAATGGACTGTAATAGCCATTTGAATCTGCTATATAGCTGTTGTACAGTTTTATGTTCCTGAACTTCTGTTATTATCTATGACTGTGTTGAATGTATTTAAAAGAATATCAGAAAGGAAAGCCAGATCACCAAATATAACTATTCTAGGTGTAGTGGCCGGTAAAAGGGAGCAATACTCAGAAGGAATACTGTAACATCTTCCTAAAGATTAGAAAAAAAAATCTGAACTATTTAAACGATCTTTTAAACAGAAGTGGTGAAAAATGAAAACCTCTACTTTTGATGCTTTAATCTACTCCTAAGATACAAAAGGTATACCTAATACTCTTATGTGCCTAAATTATAACTCTAAAAATATAGCTATCTCTAACGTAAACAATAAAAAGCACCTGAGATACTTGGGAGCTTTCCTGAGTGATTTTTCATTAGGCTGGTAAATATATTAGCTAATTTATTTGAACAGACTGTTTTAGTAAACTCCATGGATTAAACTTTCAAATATCTACAGGAGTATGTCTCATAAGAGATGTCATTTTGGAGGTTCGACTTTCAAGATCTTTCCTGTTGTCTGCCTTTGCCAAATTCCTGTTTATTTGCTGTGATTCTAATGCTGCAGTCTGACTAATGGTTAGAAGCTTTTCCCCAAAGCTAAACCAGCCAGAATGTTGTTTTCATTCTTTCCAGCAAAGTGAAACTTTTTCATCACCTTCTCTTGTGTAATTCTTTCATAGGGAAAGCTGGGTATTGTTTGTGAATCCGTTAGCTCCTGTGTGTAACAGATGTGCATTGCTTGTACGAGTTTCAGGCATTGACACATTCTCTGGGAATTAAACGTCTGCTTACTTCAGTGGGTACTTTGAAGTGTGGGACACGGGAAAAGACACATATGAGGCAATAAAAATGCATATAGCAAGAGAGGACATTTAAAAAATTTAAATGGGATTAAACTAGTTATAATGCTTTGTTTAATTCTGTAAGGACCTTCAGCACTGCAAGCAGCGGCTTGTTCAGTGTTCAGTTCAGAATTGCTTTTATGATACTGATATGTGGGTCATTAATGAAGAGAAACCTTTTAATTTGCCCTTCAGATTCTGTATCTCTATGTTGGCAAGAGACTCTATGTGTCTTTGTCAGGACCTGTGCTGTAGTGAGTGGGATGCAGGTGCTTTCTATCTGTAGTCTAGAACCACGCTCTGAAATAGCAGCTAGAACGTACACATATAGTAAGATACAATATTGATGTACTGTATTTGTCCTCCAACTAGAAAAAAAAAAAGTCACTTTCCCTGAGAATGAGTGAGTTATGGAATTCCCATTGCAATTAAAAGAATCATTTGAATACAGAATTATGAAGACTTAGAGAGCGAAATGATACTTTGTTCTTAGAATCAGGCTGCATTGTGTATTCTCATTGAGAGTTTGATTTTGCATCTGTTCTGGGGACAGAGTACCAATTTACTGAAATGGGAATTTGCCATGTGGAACAGCTGCAGATAGAAGACCTTGATGTAGCAAAAAACTTTCGTCCCACTTTGTCGGGTTTAAGAGTGTTGGTAGATGATATGCTTAGGCAGTTGTGCGGTCCCTGGTGTGTGTACGTATTTAAGGACAAATATGCTAATGATTGTTAAAGAAAAAAAGATTCAATAGTAATTAATAAATATTCAAGTTACATCATGGACGTCTTCTCGGTCCTTGTGAACCATATTGTCAGTGCAAACGGTCTCAACTGGCAGATCAATCACTTTTCAGAGTTGACAAAGTTCATAACACTCTTGTTGGACATTAGGAGGAGATGAGCACATGTTGAATTCCAGCAGTCAGTAATGACATTGGCAGCTAGATGTTGTAGAGCACTGGCTCTGAAACGTTCTTCTGTTTTGTGAGATAGCGTGCTTTACCTAGTCTGAGCCTGTAATTGTGGGGAGTGGGAGTAGCATGCGCTGTTGGTGAAGGGCAAGAGGGAGGTTGTGTTTCAGGAAACCACTGGGAAACAGTAAACAGGCAGCCCTGCTTATGCATCTTCCATGTCTTGATGAAAATTTGCCTGGGGACATAAACTGGCAGAGTTCTCCGGCAAGATTAGATAACAGGATATACTGGATGTTGTTTGTGCTATTTAAAAGGTGTGACTTCAGTATTTATTTTTGTGAATGGTTTAACACGGGCTTGTTTTAAGGATAGGGTAGGTCAACAGTAGGGAAAATTCATATTTAGCTTCTCCATATGCTGAATTTTTTTTCCCTGTTGCCATCTTGAGAATTTAAGCTGAATGGTGAGGGTGCTTTTAGTTGCTATTTACATAAAACAAATCCAGTACACAGTCAACACTGACACATTGGCATTTAACTGGGTATTACATAATGCGAGCTTTAAAAAGTTTAAGTTTTGTCTATACAATTTTATTTCAAAGACCCTACCTCAAGTCACTCTGGGTTTTTGGGGTTGATCATTTTTTTTGTGTGCAAATCCTTCTGCATTATATTTTTTTCAGTCCGTTCATTTTCTTCTGATTACCCATTTTGGACTGGAAAACACTGAATGAATGCGTGGCTAAAAGTTCTGAGGGGAGAAGTGGATTGTGCTGTTAAATTTCGCTCTTGAAAGAAGCCATTAAGTCTATTGTGTACACACTGGAAATCTTGGTGTTGGCAATGAACTCTAATGTACTTTTTATAGATTTGAGTGTGTTGGATGAGATATTCCTTTGGTCCTTTGTTTGTGTCCTTCATCTCTCCTTCATGAAGCAAGCAGTATAACACCTGAATTAGTTTTCTAACAGCAGAGGGTGAAAGAATAGACTTACAAATGCACAGTAAACAAAGCATCATTCCCAGTTAAACAAATTACAGCAGGTTGTACATACGCATCCAAAGAGCACCAATGTGGTTGCTATTCTAGATTTTTCAGATTTCACAGGACAACATGGTTTTGATGCGTTCATCTTGTTCTGATGAATTTTGAGCTTGGTGATCTTGCCCTTTAATGCATAAAAATTTCCATTTTCACATTTAGATGATTAAAAATTTATACCAGCATTGCTCAGCTTTGTTTAAATATGTCTTGAAACCAGAAGGACTGAATTCCCTTTTAATGAAAGTCCAATTTGCATAAATGTTTATATACTGTCAGGTTTAATTGTGAGTCTTTTGCATAGTAGTAACTGTAATCCAGGAATAGCCCTTGCTGTCAGTAAAAGCCAGAGAAAGGAATCAAACTGGACTTTAGAACAGCTCTGAGAATGGCATATATGTGTACTTAACCATAAGTTAAAAGTCTAAAAAGTTAAGACTATTTCCCCCTTTTAGTTATGTGACTCGTTATCTAGGCTTTTGCAGTCTGACCTAGGTCTTTTAAAATACCAGCTATTCCATTTTGTTTGTTTCTCCCATCTTGAATTTCAGTGACACTTTTGCAGGATGCTTCCAACAAGTAGGTAAAGCAAACCTAGAAAATGATTCACTATTGAATAGCATTGAACAAATGAAACATTTTGTTGATGTTACGGTGTTACAAGGTTAGTTTAATCAAAAATAATCCATTGCATTAAGCTAACAATGTAACATACAGCTACCAGAGTTTAAAGGAGGAAGAAAGCTGTGCTTAAAATTTAGGATTACTTTCCATGTCAAGGGCAATCAACAGACCTCCTGATGTGAAAATTACTGGTTTATGAGCATAGCTGGAGCACATACCCAGGTTATATTTGCGTGGCTGCACACATCATTAGCTGGAAATGCTGCCATTTTTACTTTAGTGTTTACCTCAGAAAAGCTGAGGTGAACTTGAAATACCACATTAAGTAGCTCTAAGCTTTTGTTAAGCAACTGTATTTTAATATAGATATCAAATTGCATTATTATTACATCACCTGCTTATTCAGCAGTGCTTTTAAAACTTATGGTTGCTTTCAGCAATGTGGTTGTTTCTGTGAGCTCAGATGAAAAACCCTGTGTGCTTAAGGTGTTGTGACTGTAATACTTTTCAAAACTCAGGCCTGTAGGTAGTCAGGAAGCAGAAATTCTGGCCAAGATGTGTGTCACACGGACTGCGTATCCCAAGGGTAGAATCAGTTCAGCCACATTCATAGTTGTTTGCTAGGACTTGAGAGAGTGCTAGTAAACAACAAATAAATATATACCTTTATTTCTTTAAGTAATATTGATAACAAATCTGCAATTTGACTATTTTTCCCTTTTTTATTGGAAAACATAATGTTTTTCTTGTCTAGCTTTAGATATTTATTTTCCTTAATACAAAAAAAACCCAAACAAACCCAACCAAAAACATCCCCAAAACCCAAACCACTTCTGTGTTTTCCCTTTCAAGCTCCTGCCCCTTGACATTACAGGAAGACGTTGCATGACTTTACTGTCACGTATCCGTTTTATCCTTTTAAACCTTTTTATATATGAACTGTTAAGAAAAATAGTTTCTAAGACTCAGAATGAAATGGTGTAAAGCCCAAGACATCTGTAGGACTTGTACTTGTTACCTAGGTAGATTTTTACCATTTGGTCTGAAATTTTCTGTAATCAACACATAAGATTTG